ATCAACTACAAAATTTATTTCTGTATAAATTGCTAAAACAAAACGAAAAGCTTTCACATTAGCGAAGATAAATTAAAATTGATAAATTTAGTATATTACTTTTCGCTTTGTAATCAATGATCGTTTCCGACCTATTGCAGGAAGACAAGATGGCGACCGATAGCAGAATAAAGAACAAACTTATTACTTACCTTCCATGACAATGGGATAAATAAGATGACAAATCCATAAATATAAACACCAAACTAGTAAATTGCGATTCTGATGTATTTCCATAGCAAATTATAAGCAGATATCAGTGCAATAGTTTTGAAATCACAATGAGTAGATGCAGTCCTTGCATAGCTCGGCTCTGTTGCAGTGAAGCCACACTTCCATTCTCGTTAAAACCTACATGGCCCGGTAAAAAATGTCTACGTGAGAAGATATCCAGTAAATATTAGTCCTATTTAATTATTAAGTTTCTAAAGTCTCGCCTTGACAAATATAAAGAACTACGTTAACTTTTTATATGAATCTAGATTTTTAGGTGGATGAACCCATTCCAAACAATACTAAACAATGTTGAGTAGAGCGACACATAGTGGTAAAATATGGCATTTTAGTTATAAAATATTAGCAATTGATTAATTAAAAAATTCAGTTTATAAATCCATTTAACAAGATTTTATAATTATTATAACATTAAAATTTATTGTATTTCATTAAAATTAAACGTGCGTACAATGATTATTAATAAATTAACATTAATACTTAATATTGGGAATTTTACTCTAAATATTTTTCGTAATAAATAAAATACAAATATAAACTTTTACTTACTCTGATAAAATCATAGTTTAATTATATCTATGAATCATGAGCTGTAAATTAAAAATAAAATCATTATTTTAATTTTTTTTAATAAATATTAAATATCACAACTTAAAACAGAACTTACCTGCATGCTTCACACATATAATAATAAACTATATTACTTTTAAAATTTAATGACAAAGTAACAATCACTCACGAAGCCATTAAGGTATTCAATTAAGATAAAATAAAAAACAATGAAATATTAATAATGAATAAAAATGTTTTATTTTCATAAAAACAAATACGGTCTAAGAAGTTCAATACAGAATGCAAACTTTTAACAAATCACACAATTCTTCTAATCATATAATCTACAGAAACATTTAACAGTTTTCATGTTGTAGATTTTATTGGACATATCTTAAGTTATAAAAGTTTGCGTGTTTTTGGAAACTGTTGAATGCTCATAAAAATCTTCAAAAGTTTGAATGATTTACAAAGTTGTTTTGCGGTTCCTATAATAAAGAATTATTCTAAATGGAAAATAAGTGAACAATATAAATTTAAAATATTTATAACTTACATGGCATTGGCACCTAAGAAATTCTTCATTTCTTCCACCACACTATCGTATCTAGGATCATCATATTCCGCTTCACTTCCATATGTATGAAGAGCGGAGTAAGTAGATTGATTCTGTACAGGAGTGGATGCCGGAATGGGAACAGGAGGAGGAGCAGGAGTAGGAGCTGGAACTGGAGCACGTGGTAAGGAACGAACCATTCCCGTCGTTACTAAATCGGGTCTTTGAGTTGGAGTGGCTGCTGTATAAGTAAAGCCGCGTGCCTCGACGCCTTCTGGTGCATAAAGACCAGTTTATGAATAATAATGGAAAAATCAATAAAAATATTTAAGAATAAAACAAACCTGGTTCTAAAAACGGCCTGTCTAATTTGTGCATGCAGCAGCAGGATACCAAANTAATACAATTAATTTATTATTTCCACTCAAAAAATCACAGAGAAAATTGCTTTTGCGAATTAAGATATAAATTTTATATCTTAAATTTTATAAATTTTATATAAATTTTATATTGCAAATATTAAAGAATGACATTCATTAGATAAATTAATGAATTTTAGTGTTAAAATTTCGGAAAAGTTATTGCTAATGTTGAGAGTTACCTTCTTCGGAAGTAATGGCTTCAATGATTTTTGATGGTTTGCTACTTCCAACTTCGTTGATAGCAACAACTTGAAATTGATATTTCGTGTATGGCTTCAAACGAAGGACAATGACTGACATTTGAGATCCATCAATTTTTAGTTCTAAGGGATTATCCTTACCTTCTAAGAAAAAAAAAATACTAGTAACATTAACAATAACATTCGTAGTGAATATAACTAAATATAAATCAACATTCACAATGAAATTCATTTATTATTACCTTTCTTATAAATACAAATGTATTTTTGAATTACAGTATTCCCATTATAAGGCTGCAACCAACTGAGCCGAACACTTCTACTCCATACTGATTTCACCTTTAATTCTTCAGGTTGGCTGGGTGGCTCTAAAAATTTTATCAAATTCATCCTTAAATATTATTTTTGACATTAAATTATAGTATTATTAATATTAAGGAACACACCAACAATTCCTAGTCTAATTGCCATCTGGCTATGTCCAAATGTGTTATTGGCACTACAGACATACAATCCACTGTCTTCTCTATTAGTAGATTCAATATTTAAGACTGATTTGTAGCTTCTTTCAAAATTCGTGTGTACTATTTGTATCCTGATATTTATTTTAGCAATTCAAAAGCAAATTATTAAAATAGCTTATGGAAATATCTATTTATACACAGTATTAAAAGTTTTTTTTCACCTTTGATTGTCTTCTGGCTTGTTTCCGTCTTTAGTCCAATAAATATTTAATGGTTTATCTCCAGTTATGTTACAAACTAATATAGAATCTTCGCCATTTCTAACCATTTTCTGAACTGACTCTACGTTAACTGTCGGTGGAACTATAAAAATACAGTATACTCTTGAATTACAAAAATTAGATATTAAATATATTATCATATAAATTTTATTATTTTCTTTAAAATATTCTATTTCGATTATATATTTATTTAGTAGACATTCACTACAGTTTTACCTTGAACTTCAATTCTAACAGTCTTTGACAAGTTCTCTCCGACACCATTTCCCACTTCACATGTATAGAATCCTTCATCGTCTTTTCTTGCAGAAACAGTACTCATTGTGCCACTGTCAATAATCTTCCAGTTGCTTTCTGTTACAGGAGATGATTGAGCAATGTTGAATCCTAAACAGATCAATTTTAAAATATCTTATTATCTGTTAATTAGTTTTTCTTATTCTCATCTGTCCATTTATGAAATCATTTTTAATAAATGTACTTATAATAAACCATTTAAAAAATTTTTAGTTTAGAATGTCTTATTCTAATTTTTAATTAGAAATTATATAACAGATATGCAAAAATTAAATATTTTTATATCTATAAAATATCATTTATTGATATAGTTACTGATTAGTATATCTACTTCTTTTAGTATATAAGTTATAATGTTGTTTTTACAGCGTATATATTAAATATACATCAATTGTAATAGGTGTAATTTACGATTTCAGAAGACACTATTTCCTTATGTGTGATATCGATAATAGCGCTTATGCAACAGTTAATTGTTTAACTTTTTAGTTGCCTTATAATATTGAAATTATGTTATGGAAAATATGTTTTTAAAAAGTCAAAATGTGTTAATTATATTAGTCCGTTAATAGAATAATAGAATGATTTAAATTATGTACTTTACCTTTTGTTCTTCTCCATTTAACAGTTGGTGCTGGATAGCCATCAGCTTCGCAATGAAGAACTAATTTGTTTCCGGCTTTAACTGATACGTCATATGGTTGACGAACCCACGCAGGTGGCACTAAATCAGAATTCGTACGTAAATAAATCAATTTAACTTTTTATAATTATAATATCCTTTTTAAACTTTTTAATTCCTCACCTGAAACAAGTAATTTCGTCATTAAATTATCCGATCCAACTTTATTCGTTACTACACAAGTATAATTTCCGCTATCAGCACCTTTAACAGATGCTATGATAAGAGAAGTTGAAAAGTCCCCTTGGCGATGAATTACCAAATGAGAGGATTCTGTCAGTGGTTTACCATTCTTTGACCATTGAAAAGTTAATGGTGGATCGCCTTCACTAATTCCACACGTAGCTATATATCTTTGTCCTTCTTTTAAGCTATTTTCACTAATTTGCGGCACAATTTTCGGAGGAACTATAAAATAATAGATGCAATATGATTTATGTTTAAATTAAACGTATTTATAAAATTTTAAAAAAGTATATAAATAGAATAGCGAATATTTTAAAATATTTTGTATTATTTTATGTTTAAGTTCTTTCAGCAAATAATATCTGTTATTAGGCTTTAGTTATTTTGTCTTAGTCAAAATACATACATAAATTTTCCATTTAATAGTATATTTTTACTATTACTATAATATTTAAATAAAAATGTAAAAAATGTTGTTAAAATCAATATTTTCCAAACTTTTAATATTTGAATAAATTTAATATTTTCAGTATTCGTAACTGACAGATTTACAGTATTATTGTATACTAAATTTAATAGAAAAAATGAAAAGTCTATTAAAGACATATTGGATTTTTAGATTAAAATATTAAGATTGACACAATTTATAATAATTTTTATGCAATGCAAGTGGTTATTTAAAATGATCTTCATAATTTATTTTAATAAATTAACGTAATATTTTTAGTTCAATTCGAAAACGTTAGATTGCAAGATTTGTTAAGACAAATTCACTTCAGAAATTAAAAAGTGTAGATTAATTTAGAAAATAGATACGAAGAGTTAAACACTGATAAGTTTCTATTACAGCTTTTACATAATCCTCAAAGAAAAATTAAAATCTTGATGAACAGACTTTTCTCTATTTTTAAATAAAAAATGCACCCTGCAGATATTACTATCCTTTACTAAAGAATCTGACAAGTTAATCATGAATATAAAAAAAAGAACCAAAACAAAGCATTTCCTTTAGCTTTATTCAAAGTGTGGCTATTTTGTTAACTAAATTTAAATTCCTATCGAAGTAAAAATCAGAATAGATAACATGTTTAAAGGCTGTAAAAAATTCATTATCTGTGTAAGGTGAGTTTACATTTTAATTACCAAAATAAATAGTTTAATCTGCCAAAAATTTACTCAACTTTTCTCAACTTTAAATCCTATTTTTCAATTTCTCACAATTCATGTGTAGATTAAAACACCATATTTCTGTTAGCTAGCTAGGGCTTTTCCACTTTTGAAATCTTAGTCACTTGAAAATTAAACTAATATCATCCTTTATAAGATTGCTCTTTGCTTTTGTTTTTACTTTTTTTAATCTTAAAGACTGAAGAGATTGTTCCCAATAGACTAAGACAAAGAAAAATTTATTTTAAAATGTAAGATGATTATTTCTCTTCTATCTTCGCTTTTTCTTTTTATTTCTCTCTCTACAATAGCGAGCAATTTCTAACTGGATTACAACTCAATGAAAACTGTAGTAAAAATATTACCATCATCAAATAAATAAAAGAATTTTCTTTTTTCTTATATAGCTACATATTTGGCTATTAGTTTAGGACTTATCACACCACGTTTCTTAAGAAACTTGACTTGGACTTTTTTCTTTTTTAATTCCAACTCCAATATGTACATTTCGGGTTATTTCCCCCCTCTTCGGTTGGAGTAATAGACTATATTTAAAACAAAATTGTAAAAGATTTTCTATTAAACAAATTTTTCTTGTAAAATACAATATTGTATTTTGCTAATTTTTTCTTTAATTTTTCCATAAATTGTAATTTTTACCACATTTCTTAAAAAGTAAAAATAACAATTAAATCAATTTTACATTATTCACTTGAATTACATTTTATACAACCATTTTACCGGAAGTTTTTCTGCATAGAAATTTCCGGTAAAATGGCTGTAAAAAATGGTTTATGGAAAAATTGGGAAGAGGGGGAAAATAACCCGAGATGTACATATTGAAGTTGGAATTAAAAAAGAAAAAAGTCCAAGTCAAGTTTCTTAAGAAACGTGGTGTGATATGTCCTAAACTAATAGCCAAATACGTAGCTATATAAGAAATAAAAAGGGACATTCATGATATATTGAAACTGCAATGCAATCGTAGAATGTTCGATATTGCTTGAGTAACCTAGATGTAAAATTAAAAAAAAAATTATAATTAGGCAGTATAGCATTAGGCAAATATGATTTTCTTTACGAAAAAATTTAAGTGATTTAGTAGAATATTTAGTTTTTAAATTTAAAAACTAAACTGTGCAGTAAGTATAATTTAATTGACATTTCATCAAACATTTTTTTAGAATAAATGAATTTTAAGATACATTTTTTGAAATAAACAAAAATGTCTATTTTTCAATTAATTCAGATTTTATCAAAAAGGGGAAAATATTAAACATAACAAAAATAAAAGCTTATATAGCTTATGTAAAAGATAAATCTGAAATAGCAAAAATTTTAATGATAAAATTGAAATAATACAAACGAAATTATCTGCAATAATATAAACAACAGCAAATATATTTTTGTAATTAAAATATGTATAAATAAAATATAAGTTATATTTAATTTGCAATAAAATCTTTACAATGAGCTAAACAATTCTAGAAATTCTTAAAAAATGATATAAATAAATGCCTTATATAGCGTCAACCTTGTAGAGCGCCAATGAATGGTCACGTAAAAGGTCCACCTTCATTAAAGTTCAATTATAGAACCCTTCATTATCTCTAAATTACTAAATGTAGGATTTTACTTTGCAGGAAAATAATGCTATTACCAAATCATGTGACTTTCAAACTCTCATACTTCAAATGTTTGCACAGACCTCATTACTTTAAATAATTTGTAGTGTTTATTCATTATTTTAGTTTAGATTTTTCCCCTTATTAAAAAAAAATTAACAAAATCAAAAATAACGTTTTATTTTTCATCAACATTAATATAAATATTAATAAAAAATACAGTCAAACCAGTATTATTGAAAATATCATTTATAAAATTATCAAAGTAAAAAACGAGTTGACTAGAATTAGTTCTTTATGTTTTCACTTCAGAAATAGATTTTCAGAAAGCATTAAATTCTAAATTATATTTAGAATTTAATGCTTTACTAAATACATTTTAATTCTTATAGTTTTTATATAATTTAAAATAACTGATAAAGATGAATGCTATTATAAAATTTAGTGTGTTATCGCTATCAAATTCACAAGTTCCTTAAGTAAAAGCTAATTAAGCAGTTGTACGAATGTTAGATATTTCTGGTTTTTGTTATTTTCTCTTAGATATTTACAAAATTTAACTAAATTTATGTATATATTTGATATTTATTTCGTTTCTACGTTAAAGTAAGCGTTAATTTTTCTTATTTATTTAATGTATGGAGGACTTAACACAACTAAACAATTTAAGATAAAATTAGGTCAGCTGAAAAAAAATCTGAAAAATTATGTTTTTTAAAGAGCATTTTAGATATACAGTAGTATTTTATTTAGGCACAGAAATGACTGCCTAGAAACAAATGCAAATTAATAACTAAATTTAGCTATTAATAAAACTGAATTCATAATTTATAAAGTTTTGCTTTCAACTAAAGAAAAATCATTAAATGAAAAGAAAACGAATGAATAACAGTCCTTTAATTTAATCAACATAAATATATTTACTACAAATTTAAGTAATATATTTACAGCAATAATTATATTCTTATTATCATTACATAAAATTGTATATCACATATTCGTAATTATTATTGTCATATCAATTTTAAACCCAATAAAATTATAAATATTTAATTACAGTATAAGTGTTAAAAAATCATCATCAAAGTATATCGAAGTAGTATAATAAATTATTAAAATACATTAAGAAAAAGGTTAAAAAATAATACTTTAAGTTTATTATAAATGCATTTTAATAATTAATTTTTAAAATAATTATTATTTAAATTATATAAACATTTGTTTAATAGTGTTCAATAGTGTGTATAACACTGAATTATCAGTGCTAAATTAAGCATTTGTTCTTTGTAATATAAAATTTGTTTAAATGAATAAAATTTATTTTAAAATAATAACAAACATATTATAGAAGGACCTCGATTTAACGAATAAATTATTTCTGTCCTAAACGAAAAATTTAGTAACTTTTCTTTTTATTCTCGAATAGAGCATGCTAAACAGTTGGATCAATGAGTCAGCAGGAGGAAAGTGTTTATCACGTTTGATTAAAATAAACTTTGGTTTCTATTGTAAATTTATATTTAAATTTTTAACAAATATGTTAGTGACTTGTATAAATTGCTCAAATTACAGTACTTTACAATAACATTTTAATACATCCGGTACAGTGTAAGTTCGTTACTATTATACATTGTTTAAAATATATACAATTTAATGAACTTGCCAACATCGGATATCCATTCAGTCCGTTAAATTAAGGTCCTATTGTACTTCACTTTTTGTATTGTACTTATAAATATTTACAGTAAATAAATTTCCCAAATTAACAAAATTATTAAACACTTTTATTCATTATATTAAATATTAAAACCAAACGAATCACAACTCTAAAAATGATAGATGTTTTATATAAAAATCAAATAAATATTAGTTAATTTTAACGGATTATTTTTCACCTTATTATCAATGATCATTTCCAATCTTTTGTAGGAAGCCAAGATGGCGACCGATAGTAGAATAAAGAACAAACTTATTACTTACCTTCCATGATAATGGGATAAATAAGATGACAATTCCATAAATATAAACACCAAACTAGTAAATTGCGATTCAGATGTATTTCCATAGCAAATTATAAGCAGATATCGGTGCAATAGTTATGAAATCACAATGAGTAGCTGCAGTTCTTGCATAGCTCGGCTCTGTTGCAGTGAAGCCACACTTCCGTTCTCGTTAAAACCTACATGGCCCGGTAAAAAATGTCTACGTGAGAAGATATCCAGAAAATACCAGTCCTATTAAATTATGAAATTCCTATTATTCTTGTTTGGACAAAAATAAAAAAAAACTACGTTAACGTTTTACTTGAATCTAGATTTTTAGATGGATAAATTCATTCCGAATAATACTAAACAATGTTGAGTAGAGCGACACATAGTGGTAAAATATGGCATTTTAGTTATACAATAATAAAACTTAATAACAAAATTCATTTTCAAAAATTTATTTAATAATACCTTATCATTGTAAAAATAATTGTTTTTAACTTGTGTTTACATTGAAATAATTAATAATAAATTTTAAAAATAATAATATCTGAGTGCCAGATATTATTATTTTCAAATATAAAACGTAAAAAAATATTTACTTACATCATGTGAGGACAGCATTAAAATAATATTGTGAAGAGATAATATTTTTCAAAATTTAGCTATTAATTAAAAATAAAACAGTTATTCAAATTTTAGTAAAGATTCTAAAATAATAATATTCAAAGACTCACCTGAAATCTTCAGATTTATTAATGTGTAATTTCAAAATTCTAAAAATTAACTATAGGGTATATAAATTATAAAGAAAGATAGTCAGTATACAGTTGAAATAAAATAAGGCAAAGAACAAATATTAATAATGAATAAAAATGTTTTATTTTCATAAAAACAAATACGGTCTAAGAAGTTCAATACAGAATGCAAACTTTTAACAAATCACACAATTCTTCTAATCATATAATCTACAGAAACATTTAACAGTTTTCATGTTGTGGATTGTAATTGGACATATTTTAAGATATAAAAGCCTTCCTTCAGAAACTTTTAAATGCACATAAAAATCTCCAAAAGTTTCGAATGATTTACAAAGTAGTTTTGCGATTCCTGTAAAAAAGAATTATTCTAAATGGAAAATAAGAGAACAACATAAATTTAAAATATTTATAACTCACATGGCATTGGCACCTAAGAAATTCTTCATTTCTTCCACCACACTATCGTATCTAGGATCATCATATTCCGCTTCACTTCCATATGTATGAAGAGCGGAGTAAGTAGATTGATTCTGTACAGGAGTGGATGCCGGAATGGGAACAGGAGGAGGAGCAGGAGTAGGAGCTGGAACTGGAGCACGTGGTAAGGAACGAACCATTCCCGTCGTTACTAAATCGGGTCTTTGAGTTGGAGTGGCTGCTGTATAAGTAAAGCCGCGTGCCTCGACGCCTTCTGGTGCATAAAGACCAGTTTATGAATAATAATGCAAAAAAATCAATAAAAATATTTAAGAATAAAACAAACCTGGTTCTAAAAACGGCCTGTCTAATTTGTGCATGCAACAGCAGGATACCAAAGGAAGAATTATAATTATTACCAATGAGACGACGACAGGTAGTGTAAAGGAAAGTTGTTGATAAAGTGGTTCGTCATTAGCTTCTGGAATAGTAAGAAATTGCTTTCATAATTAATTTCTATCAGAATTTTATAGCTTTTGCTTGTAAACAATAGAATGTTATAATTTTATTTATAAATATTATTTTTTGTTTCAGGTTTTAATAATAATGACATTTATATTTTGTAATATAATAGAGTATAACAGTAATTTTGATCAAATTGTTTATTTAACGAATAGTTTGTAGTGTCAACTCTTTATGGGCATCTATTAATATACATAATTTATTAATAACGTTATGATTAAGTCAGAATGTTGTTTTTATCTTTATATTATAACAGTTACTATTATGTTTACATTGTTCTAAGTCTTGATGTAATTACTTCATATATAAGTAAAAAAAACTCTGATATTTTCATTTGAAATTTTATGTTAATATTTAAAAACGTGCAATTATTATTTTACTTTATTGAAACCGTGTTGGCGATTATTTTTGTCGTTTTTGAACACTGTATAGTTCATACACACAACACAAGGCAATCTTCATTGTAAATTTATTAAATTTTTAGTTGACTAAAAATTGAATAAACTTTTCAAAATTAAATTAGATTGTGTATTGATTATAAATGAATATAATTTAGACATTTTGACAGAACAAGAACTTTCTGAAATGGAAATGGCAATAAGATTTCTCTTTTTGTGAATTTACGGTATTAACATCAATAGTTTCCCTTATATAATTTCCCTTATTTTAGTTTTCCTCTTTATATATATATTATATATATAAGGAGGAGAAGGACGCAAAAAAGCTTATGCCAAAACTTTATTGATGCAGGAAAATGTTTCGAAATTATAAGAATATTAGTTAAATTTGTCAAATTGAGGAAATATTGTTTATTATAATTAATTTCTATACCATAAGATTTCCTTTCGTCCATTAAAGATGCCATTCAAGTCAAGAATTTCATTGCACAAACACTTAATTAAATGTAGTTTACTATAGAATATTCAATAATCCTTTCATCATGACGTGTTAGAAAATTACTGTGAGTAATAATTTCCTACAATAGTCTACATTTTAATTGTAACTCTTTTCTCAACAAAATATTCCTAACTTTCTATCATTTGTTCATAAACTGTTAATTTAGAAAATTCGCTTCTAAATATTCATGTCACATTATATGCATTTTCTGTAAGTATAATAAATGATATTTTACTTATCATTATGTAACCGGTTCAAACACCATTATTCTCTAGGAATTATCACATCCACAGGCTCCAAAAATGCTAGCCAATGATAATTTCTAGAGAATAAAGGTGTTTGAACCGGTTACATATTGATATTTAAAAAAACAGAATAGAAGAGGAAAGATAAATTATAGACACAGTATTTTACTTACAAATTACGTGGATTTGTATTGTTACTCGTATTTGTTACTATCTTTTCTTAGTACAGTCGACCCCCCTATAATTACGGTCCCTATAATTACGATTCCTATAAAACTACGAAAAAATATACGTATTTTGGAAATGTTGAGTCGGATTAGTGTAGAATCGATTAATTTTATGGAAGAAAACCTTTCAATCAGCCGTAGTCCGTAAACTTGACACGTGTCGGGCTGTGATTGGAACGACTTGTAAGAAATCGGATNTTACATGGCATTGGCACCTAAGAAATTCTTCATTTCTTCCACCACACTATCGTATCTAGGATCATCATATTCCGCTTCACTTCCATATGTATGAAGAGCGGAGTAAGTAGATTGATTCTGTACAGGAGTGGATGCCGGAATGGGAATAGGAGGAGGAGCAGGAGTAGGAGATGGAACTGGAGCACGTGGTAAGGAACGAACCATTCCCGTCGTTACTAAATCGGGTCTTTGAGTTGGAGTGGCTGCTGTATAAGTAAAGCCGCGTGCCTCGACACCTTCTAGTGCATAAAGACCAGTTTGTGAATAATAATGGAAAAATCAATAAAAAATATTTAAGAATAAAACAAACCTGGTTCTAAAAACGGCCTGTCTAACTTGTGCATGCAGCAGCAGGATACCAGAGGAAGAATTATAATTATTACCAATGAAACGACGACAGGTAGTGTAAAGGAAAGTTGTTGATAAAGTGGTTCGTCATCTGCTTCTGTAAAAATAAACAGTTTCTTGTAAAATTAACATTTAAAATCATGTTAAAAATTAGTCTCTTACTCTAATTATTATGAGTAGGAATAATATTTTAAATTCTAGGATATATAAATACATAACTTCAATTACAAAAAATCCAATTACAATTAAAATATATCAATATTTTACCCTTGAAATGAATGGATGGTGCTGTATGTTGTGCATTTCAATTAATTTATGCACTATTATATCTTGAATTCTTAAGTATTTTTGAAGTTAAATTATTTTTCTATTACACCAAGTCAATGGTGTTCATAATTCCAAGCCAATGAGAGATTTTTGCTTAGGATTTATTTCTCCAGCTTCGTTTAAAAATAAAAACCAGAATTTTTCTATTTTCTAACGATATATTATTTGTAAGGAAAATAAACAGAATTACTATTTTTGTTAAACTTTAGTTGTGTTAATTGGAAAAAGAAAAAAACATAAAAAATTTAACTTCTGAATTTTGATTTACGTTTTAACAGAAATTTAAGTGAAATGTAGTTAATTTATTAATTTGGGCTGATTCAAAATAAGACACACTTTTCAAACATCTGTCATTATCTTAAGTAGAAGTAGTATAATAGAGAAAAGCGTTTTAATTACGCTTACAGTTAATGTTAACTCTAGCTGAATTATAAGAAATAGCATTCATTGTAAAAAATATAAAAATGGAAAAATATACAATTTAAATATTTTCTTACTTTTATTTGCTGTAAGAAAGCTGAGTACTTCAGTGGGTCCACTGTCTCCATATTCGTTCTTCGCTGTTAAATACATTTGATATTGAACTCCACTGACCAATCCTCCGATAGTATAATTATTATTTGGAGACAATGGCAATCGAACCATTTGCCACTGTCCATTAGTAGGTTTTACGTGAGCAACATAACCTATTAAGAAAGATTTAAAATTCACAAAATTAATAATGGATTATAAAGCACAAAAAGTATTTAAACAAATCAAAATGAAATACCAGTTAGAGGAGTGTTTCTCTTCGAAGACCATAAAATTCTCATAGTCACTGAATTTGGATCAGTTGACAAAATTGATATCCGCGGTGTTGGAGGAGATTCTTAAAAAATGATAAAGTTTAATTAAAACTGATAAAATTCGTTATATTTAATTTTTATTATTAAATTTTCTTTTACCAACGTAAGATGTCGTTAACAGTATCGGTTCCGAAGGTGGACCTAATCCAGCCCTGTTGTAAGCGATAACAATCACAGTGTAAGTCGAAGTCTTCTGCAGATCGTTTAATACAGTTTTTTGAATTTCTGCTTTGTGATTAATTTTCACATTTTTGTATGAGTAAGATATTTGTGACCCTTGGCTAGTTTTCTTATATCCGATATAAAATCCCAATAATGGGCCATTCCATTGATGCTTTGGAGGAGACTATTTTTAAAATAATCATTGAATTTTCCAATTTTAAACATCAAACTAAATATTTGATACAAGAAATTAAAATTTCATAAATCTAAATAATTACCTTCCAAGTTAAAACAGCTGAAGCGGTTGATTTTTCACTTACTTGAAGATCAAAAGCAGGAGATGCAGGTTCTATGATAATAAACGTTTATGTTAGTGACATTTCAAACTAAGCAGACAGCTTATATCTTTTTCCAATAGATTTTATTAAAAGTACATTATGGAATAAGTAAATGACTATTTGAAAATAACCAGTTTATTTATTACTATTAAAAATTTCTTTTGAAAACTTTAAGTTATCGATTAATTCCGAATTTATATCTTAAATATGTAATAGTAAAAGAGCTTCTTATAGAGCGCCATCGAAGCTCTCCAGGGAGAAAGGAAAAATTGTGTTATTGGCACTTTAAATTCTTAATAGGCAGAAAATTGATATTGAAATTTTATCACAGGTTTTCATTTTTTCAATCATTTTGATCAATTCTGACATTCCAGGACCCCCCAAAAATTAAAAAAAAATTAGAAAATTCTCTTTGACATATGCGTAAGTATGGTGGTTACCAATTTTGCAACATATTTTAGGATTGGCTGAACTAAAAATTTTGAAACTTGGCAAGGTTATTTCTACATTGATGCTATTAAATTTTAGATCAAGAAGGTGGGGAGATACAAAACGATTAAGTGTCATATCTTGAGTAGGTTCAGACTTAATGACAATTTTATTCATTACAGTTTGTATTTACAGTTTTAAAAAATTCATCTCTATTTTCAAAAATAATGCTTTGTCATTTTAATAATAATTAATAATATAAAATGACTTTTAAATAAAATCTCATAAAAGATGGCGTCACCACAATTTTAACTTTAAGCCATACTCAAGAATATTTAGTTTAAAAAACATTTAATTTGAATAGCAGAGAAGTTCCTCATAAATCAACAAAATTACTACTCCTTTTTAGTTTTTATTGGGCTGCAATTTGAAAAAAATTGTAGATTTATAAATTCCCATTGTCGTCCATCTGTCCGTCTTTCCTTAATCTCAAGAACGGTGTTAGATAGATGAAACTCAAGACTAGATATGGAAAGCTTAAGGGCAAGAAGCCCGATTAACTATACAAACGTCCTATGCAAACCGGAAGTCACGTTATTTCAATTCAAAAATTTCCCCTGAAAGGAGTTAGATAGCCAGCACGACTCCATTGTAAAAGTATGATGTACAGTACAGGAGCAAGACGCTACTAATTTGACGGGGAGGCATATATTTTAAATTAAATAAATTATTATTATTTGAATTTTATATCTTAGTATAATTAAAAATCATTTAACTACCTGATCACTTAATTAATTAATTAATCAACTCCTGAGTGCCAGGAGAATCGCTTGCAAGATCTTGTCAGTTGATTTAAATATGCACGTTTTGAAAATTAATATTAAAACTATCTGATACCTTCTTCAGAAGTAATGGCGACAACTATTTCTGAAGGTTTGCTACTTCCAACTTCGTTGACGGCAATAACTTGAAATTGGTATTTTGTATACGGTTTTAAACGAAGTACAATGATTGACATTTGAGATCCATCAACTTTTAGTTCAACAGGTCTGCTTTTGTCTTCTAAAAAATAAATTCTTTTTAATAATTAATATTTAATAGTTATTATAAATTAATCTATTAAATACCTTTTTTATAAATACAAATGTATTTTTGAATTACAGTATTTCCATTATAAGGCTGCAACCAACTCAGCCGAACACTTCTACTCCATATTGTTTTCACTTTTAACTCTTCAGGCTGGCTGGGTGGCTCTGAAAATTCGTCAAAACTCATTTTCTATATTACTTTAATATTATAAATCTAAATATTCATTACTAATATTAAGGAGCTTACCAACAATTCCTAGTCTAATTGCCATCTGGCTATGTCCAAATGTGTTATTGGCACTACAAACATACAATCCACTGTCTTCTCTATTAGTAGATTCAATATTTAAGACTGATTTGTAGCTTCTTTCAAAATTCGTGTGCACTATTTGTATCCTGTTAAATTATTTTATCTGATTTTTATATCATTTAAAACATGAATTGTTAAAATAAATTTTAAATATTTATATATGTGTTAATAATTTATTTGTTACCTTTGATTATCGTCCGGTTTCTTTCCATCTTTAGTCCAATAAATATTTAGCGGTTTATCTCCAGTTATGTTACAAACTAATATAGAATCTTCACCATTTCTTGTCATTTTCTGAACTGATTCTACATTAACTGTAGGAGGTACTATAAAAATACATACATCTTGCTCTAATTTTATTATAGGTTAAGTCGAAAATCGTATAAATAAAGAAGTACTAATTTAATTATATTTATTTTGATTTTTATATTTCTGATATAATTTAATTAATTACCTTGAACTTCAACTCTGACTGTTTTGGATAAGTTTTCTCCAATGCCATTACTCACTTCACATGTATAAAATCCTTCATCATCTTTTTTTGCAGCGACAGTAGACATTGTACCACTTTCAATAATTTTCCAATGGTTTTCTGTCACAGGAGATGATTGAGCAATACTGAACCCTAAAAAAATCATTTATTATATCTTCAGTAATATATAAGTTATTTTTCAATTTATATTCATGCATATATAAATATTTGACGATTCAAAATTATTAGTATTAAAATTTTTTAAACTTAACTCATTTATTACTTTTATACATGTAAATTAGTGATATTTAATTAAAACATAATAATAAATGAGTATAAAGGAATAATTAACCAAAGACTTTTTCGTGAGTAACCAAAATTAATGTTATAATATTACTATTGTCATTAAACGACAATTTAAAAATAATAAGAATATTTAAAATTTAAAAAAATGCTAAAACTTCTAGCAATGTTTGGACACCATCCTGATACATATATACACACACACATATATAACTTATTAATACGTAATTAATGGGAATTCTATTCTGTATACAGTAGAAACTCGAATTAATGTTTTTCGAGGAACCAGTGAAAAATATATACGTTAAATCAAGGAATACTAAAATCCAAACGTGCCAGAACATACAAATACAGTAAATGTGTATGGGCATTCCGAATAAAAATTGGAAAACATATATTATTACTATAAACGCTTTCATGAAAGCCTTTACTTCATACAATGTAATGAGGATATGATGGGTATTCATCACTGCAGTTTCTAAGTTTGTAACTTAAAAAAACACATCTTCGTCAATATTATCACCGCTGTTGTGCGTTAAGTACTGTCTTTCCTTTTGCGTTTTATACTTGTACCCGTAATGTTTGTAGCTGCACAGGAATATCTTATGTGACCGCAAAATTTATAGTGAACTTCAAAAACTAATCGTATTATTCTACTTGCTAAACAAATCCATGCGTTAAATAGCAAAAATACATTACGAAAAATCAAAAGAGAATAAATGTGGTAACGTTAATATTGTTTATAAAGATTTGAAGGGACTGGTGAAAAAAACACAAAAATTATATGAGAAGAACGTTAAATAAAGATGATATGTCAAATATGTTCAGCGCAGAATTAACGTGCATCGTGAACTGGATTTGTTCAGGTGGTCTTAGTTTAGGCAGCACTGCACTAAAATGCTACGTGTATATGTGTGTAATTTTTCTTCCTCTAAGATTGTTTTTAACCGTCGGCTTTGATAAATACAAATTATTTTAGTAGTTTAATTATTAAATCTATTAACTACTATGTCTAAAGTCACCGGATCCTCAAGAATATCCATAAACAAAATTCTTGATTTTTAACTTTTGCTAACAAGAATAACACATTCCGGGATCTCCAGGATTGAAGATATTAGAATCATACAGTCTTGGGGTTGCGATCCGTAGTTGTTAAATGTATATGTTACTGTGAAAGACCGAAATTAGAGAATGTCGACACATACAATATGCGTCTGTAAAAGACCGAATATTTGGTTATATTATTATACATTCGAAGAATCGCCGGTGTGTGTCGACAAGCACAGATAAGCTTTGGTGGAGGTCGAAACGACACCCAAAAAAGCCCATGTCGACAGGGAGGCGACAGTATATCGCCAAATTCTACGCCGTTTCCTTCTGCTGAAATTGGTGATATCGTACGAATACAAGTCCCTGATGTCGACCGTGGCCGTACAGATGTCCGAAATGTGTTGGCGGTTGTTGTTGGAATAGAAGACTCCGACTTTTATAAATTAGCAAACAAAAATGGTACCCTCAAGCAGCTTTATACCCGTAATCAGTTCGTAATTTGTAAAGAAAAGTTACTTTCCACAAATGAGATTTCTTCTCAAAAAATATCGCTGAGAGAAGTAGCTGCAGCTAGTTCGAAAAGTGGAGGGCAAGGCTATACACGCTGTCGTTGCAAAAAGAAGTGTTCCACGAATAAATGCAGTTGTAAAAGCAAGGGACTCTTGTGAAATTCAAAGTGCCATAACAGTTTAAGTTGTTGTAATAAATAAGATTAACGAATAACGTTAATCGCATAATTTATGTGTAAATTTATTATTGTATTATTTTTTAAATAAATTTTAGAATGTACTGTTTGGTTTAGGTTTAACAGTTTATTTACATATGCTGTTACTTAAGCTTTCTCCTATTTTGACATATTAAAAAGTTGCATTTTTGTCTTAACGTAATAAAAATATTTTTATTCAACATTCACCATCAGTGCATGCTGAATGTCGACATTTGCCGGTGTAAGTGAGAAATAATGATATTTAGTAAATATTTCGTACATACACAAAACGACTGTGTGAATGCTGACATTCACCGGAGAATGTTAACATTCGCCAGATATCGGTCATTCACAGTAACATATATAAATATTATTTAAATATTCTAAACATAAAATTTACTTATATGCAATGCAATAATAAAATATTATGTGTTTATTATAAATAAGTAACTTAATTCACCTTTTGTTCTTCGCCATTTAACAGTTGGTACTGGATAGCCATCAGCTTCGCAATGAAGAACTAATTTGTTTCCAGCTTTAATGGACACATCGTAAGGCTGACGAATCCATGTAGGAGGTACTGAAATTATAACTCGCAATTGAAATGATTAATGAACTTTTTCATGAACAGTTAATAATTTTCATTATCTTACCTGAAACTAATAATTTCGTCGTTAGACTATCGGATCCTGCTTTGTTTGTTACTAGACATGTATAATTTCCGCCATCTGCACTTTTAACCGAGGCTATGATAAGCGAAGAAGAAAAATCTCCTTGGCGGTGAATTACCCAATGAGAGGATTCTGTCAACGGTTTACCATTCTTTGACCATTGAAAAGTTAATGGTGGATCGCCTTCATTAATGCCGCACATTGCTATATATGTTTGGCCTTCTTTTAAATTGTTTTCACTAATTTGTGGCACAATCTTTGGCGGAACTGTAATAATATATGTATGTATTTTTAATGTTAAGTCGAAGTACGGGTATATTGTGAAATTATAAATAAATAAAAAACATAGTAAAATAATTATCTTAAAAAGCCTAATAATAATTAAAACTGTTTCGAAAAATATGCACAAACTAAAATAAAAATCCTTTGCAAATATGGCTTTAAATTAGTGATTTATAAAAATTTTATCCCTTATGAATCAGTTTTGAAATTTGTCTTATCATTATATTTCTTCTAGTTATATGAAATTATTTTAATTCGTGAATTGTTCACTTAATTAATCTAATATCAATTTTAAAAAAATATGCTACATCGATTTTCCAGTTTATCAACTGTAGTAGTACTATGTCAATTTATTTCCCAGAACAGCATTTATTAAATTCAAATTAAAATAAACTATATAAAAATTTATTTCTTCTTTTTTTTTCTCTTAAAATTTCAGAATATTGATATTCCGAATTCTCTACTTTAAACATTTACTGTTTTACTATTTCTCGATATTTATTATATCTAATATTGATATGCAATTATCGTAACAATTTCAACGTTGAAACAATAAGAAGTAAGCAATTGAAATGGCATGAAATCAAAATACGAGTATTATTCTAGCAACAAAATGTACTTTCGAATATAGATAGAGTCGTGCCGGTTATCTATCTAACACCTTTCAAAGGCAAATTTTTGAATTGAAATAATGTGACTTCCGGTTTGCATGGGAAGTTCGTATATAGTTAATCGAGGCCTCATGCAGCTAAGGTTTCCATATCTGGTCTTGAATTTCATTTATCTAACATCGTTCTCGAAAGACAGACGGACGACAGTGGAAATTTATATGTCTACAATTTGTTCAAATTGCAGATGAAGCTCGAGCAAAATATTTAAGACAGAACATATTATACTTGAATACGATTGAAATATACAGTAATATACAAATGAAAACTGGAATGCATATATTTCAAATTAATTTGAAATAAAAATATTCCAAAACAATTTAAGACTGGTCGTAATATACGCTGAAAATAAGGAGAGAACTAAAAATCTTTGATCTTTAAATGTCCCAAATTTGGCTTTTATTTTATATCTAGCCACGGCTGAAACTATCGATTCAATTACAAGCGTCGATCTTTATGTGGAATATTTTTGTTAAAATAGTAAATAATAAAAACAATTTCAACAATATTTAAGTATAATAGGCTCTGTTCAATTTTGAGATGTATTTTATTATAAATCTTTTAAATCATAAGATACGTTACGTGTTCCTTGGGCACGCGTGCCATAGGTTCGCCACCTCTGGTATAGACGATTTTACGCATATGATCTTGTCATAGAAATTACTTATTAAAAATATTAGTAGCATACGATTCTCCTCTATTCCTCATAGGTATAGAATTAAATTACTTTTATAAATATATAAATTTAAACAGGTTTAAAAAGACTAGTATTTTTTATGTTTGTTTAATTACAATATAGATATTTAAAAGTAACTAAACAAATAGCGAAAGAAACTCAAACTCAGATTAAAGTAAAAATTAAAAAAAGTTTTATCAGCCGTATATCAAATAATATATATATATAATAACTATAAAATAATATACATAATAACATCAGATAATAATATAATTCTTTGAAGTTAACAATATATAATAAAATAATACTAATACCTTTAGTTGAATAACAAAAAGAATAATAATGATAGTAACAACTTTATTAAGAATAAGACTTCAATATGATTGACAAATATTAACATAAAATAAAACGTAAAATGAAACTTTATAATATAAATAAGAAAATGAAATAAAGATCTATAATATATTATTAAAGTTTAATTCATAAGTTTGAAATTGTAAATGCTATTTAGATATAATGACAAATTTAATATTTGAAAACAATAATATAAAATAATCTCTATTATATCAAATATTCAGTAAATAATCATTGCTGCATTAACATGCATAAATGCATTTATTAAATATTAAATTTATGACCCATATGAAAGTTGTTAAGTTTTATGTAATATATTGATATTTAACATTTTGCATATACACAAATTGTTTTATTTAAAAGTAATACAGTATAATTATTAGAAATAAAACATATTTCAAAATACCATTTTAATTGCGAAAACAAAAGCAACAACCTTCTTATTTATATGAAAATACAACATTTAGTAACTTTAGTTTTTCATTTTATAATCAATGATCATCTCCGACCTTTTGTAGGAAGCCAAGATGGCGACCGATAGTAGAATAAAGAACAAACTTATTACTTACCTTCCATGATAATGGGATAAATAAGATGACAATTCCATAAATATAAACACCAAACTAGTAAATTGCGATTCAGATGTATTTCCATAGCAAATTATAAGCAGATATCAGTGCAATAGTTTTGAAATCACAATGAGTAGATGCAGTCCTTGCATAGCTCGGCTCTGTTGCAGTGAAGCCACACTTCCATTCTCGTTAAAACCTACATGGCCCGGTAAAAAATGTCTACGTGAGAAGATATCCAGTAAATATTAGTCCTATTTAATTATTAAGTTTCTAAAGTCTCGCCTTGACAAATATAAAGAACTACGTTAACTTTTTATATGAATCTAGATTTTTAGATGGATGAACCCATTCCAAACAATACTAAACAATGTTGAGTAGAGCGACACATAGTGGTAAAATATGGCATTTTAGTTATAAAATATTAGCAATTGATTAATTAAAAAATTCAGTTTATAAATCCATTTAACAAGATTTTATAATTATTATAACATTAAAATTTATTGTATTTCATTAAAATTAAACGTGCGTACAATGATTATTAATAAATTAACATTAATACTTAATATTGGGAATTTTACTCTAAATATTTTTCGTAATAAATAAAATACAAATATAAACTTTTACTTACTCTGATAAAATCATAGTTTAATTATATCTATGAATCATGAGCTGTAAATTAAAAATAAAATCATTATTTTAATTTTTTTTAATAAATATTAAATATCACAACTTAAAACAGAACTTACCTGCATGCTTCACACATATAATAATAAATTATATTACTTTTAAAATTTAATGACAAAGTAACAATCACTCACGAAGCCATTAAGGTATTCAATTAGGATAAAATACAAAAACAATAAAATATTAATAATGAATAAAAATGTTTTATTTTCATAAAAACAAATACGGTCTAAGAAGTTCAATACAGAATGCAAACTTTTAACAAATCACACAATTCTTCTAATCATATAATCTACAGAAACATTTAACAGTTTTCATGTTGTAGATTTTATTGGACATATCTTAAGTTATAAAAGTTTGCGTGTTTTTGGAAACTGTTGAATGCTCATAAAAATCTTCAAAAGTTTGAATGATTTACAAAGTTGTTTTGCGGTTCCTATAATAAAGAATTATTCTAAATGGAAAATAAGAGAACAACATAAATTTAAAATATTTATAACTTACATGGCATTGGCACCTAAGAAATTCTTCATTTCTTCCACCACACTATCGTATCTAGGATCATCATATTCCGCTTCACTTCCATATGTATGAAGAGCGGAGTAAGTAGATTGATTCTGTACAGGAGTGGATGCCGGAATGGGAATAGGAGGAGGAGCAGGAGTAGGAGCTGGAACTGGAGCACGTGGTAAGGAACGAACCATTCCCGTCGTTACTAAATCGGGTCTTTGAGTTGGAGTTGCTGCTGTATAAGTAAAGCCGCGTGCCTCGACACCTTCTAGTGCATAAAGACCAGTTTGTGAATAATAATGGAAAAATCAATAAAAAATATTTAAGAATAAAACAAACCTGGTTCTAAAAACGGCCTGTCTAACTTGTGCATGCAGCAGCAGGATACCAGAGGAAGAATTATAATTATTACTAATGAAACGACGACAGGTAGTGTAAAAGAAAGTTGTTGATAAAGTGGTTCGTCATCAGCTTCTGAAATAGTAAATGTTTTGTTTTAAAGTTAAGATTTATAAATATACTAAAAATATATTTTCTTCTTTAAAATAACAACGGTATTTTTTATTTTTCACTACAATACTCTATTTTCTGAAATGTATAAAAACGTAACTTGAATTTACTAAATTATTAAAACTTGAAATTCAAATTAAAAAATAATAAATATGTTATATTTATTTTTAATAACATGAGTGAATACATATTTTTATTATAGTAAGTGTTTGAAACTATAATAAATTTTTATGAATTATGCTCTCTTATGGGCAATAAAAATAACTGTAAGAATCAATACAAGTGTGAGAGATGATTTATAGAAATAATGAATGTAATAGTCATGAAAAAAAGTCATATGAAAAACTAATATTTTAAAATCTCTTTGAAAAAAAATTTTCCAACATTACAATGATGTTAAAAGTCTTCTTGCTTGAAATTTTGACAGGTTAATGTTTCTAAAGCTGATTTTTTAATTATGTCCTTACTAATAAATAAGGAATTCAAATGAAACAATATTAATCAATAAGAAGGAAAGAATTTGAAGGACAGTAACCTATTAACTTATATTTCTTGATATGATAAAGCTACGAAATCGCCCGTCCAGATCTCAGACGTAGAAAATATTTTAAGTTTTCTCTAAATTAATTCGTTGCTGCAAGAAGTTCAAGTAATCATTTTATAAATGATTCGTTACGTGATTTCCCTAACAGTTTATATTACTAAGAGGCATTTGATACCTCCATAACCTACAGCACCTGGATTAAACTAGTGGAGTCCCTTGGCCTTGAACCTATTCATAGTTGTTGATATATAAATCACTTGTCTGATAGACAAATTAATCCTACTAGCTTCAGGAACAGAATAATTGAACATTGTTGTATATCGTATACCTAACATGCATTGCTATTTTTATAAACTTTTCAACTGTAACTAAATTTTATCAGGCATTTAGGATTGTGTTTCTAAAATAACAAACCAAAAACAAAGGTAAGAGTACATCTTTGTATCGTACCATATAAACATAGCATTATAAAAATGCATTCAAATGTCGAGCATTCACGATACTGAGTTTTATATCGATTATTTTATTTGTGCAGAAATAATGTTTTCATGATATCGCGTATCATTTAAACCAATAAACACGCAACACTTGAAATTTCATATAAAAGTGTCAATTTAAATATGAATAAACACATACGCTCACAGTTTTGATAAGAGATTACAATCAGTTTAAGTAAAATCAATACGTAAACGTCATTGTATCATTTATCTTGTTCAAAAATGCATGTAACTTTTTCAAACATAACAACTGCAAAATATTGTCAAGTAACTAAAACGTTATAAATGCTCAGCAATTCTATTATGACTACACGTTACACTATAGGGATAAATTTAAATTCAAACTGCTAGGTCTTGGACCACTGTTAGCCTTTGATGCATTTACCTTATGCAGTCTTATGTTATTTTAATAGGTTTCTGAATTAATGTATAATGTAATGTAATTATATAAGCATATTTAGAAATAAAATAAAAAGAGAAATTATTATAACAACATAAATCACCTTTAAAATGACATAGGAAAATTATTAGATCGGTTTTTCAATTCAGTTTGTAGTGTCAACTTCTTTTAAGTAAAAAGAAGCATTCACTATCATTTGTATAAAAATATAAGGACATTTACTTTTTATTATTAACTTGTAATAAATTCTTATGAATCATACACGATGACAAGTTATAATAAAAAGTAATTTATAGACATCTTCAAACCATTTATATAAGAACATTTAAATATTCCTTACTTTTATTTGTTGTAAGAAAACTAAGAACTTCGGTAGGTCCACTATCCCCGTATTCATTCTTAGCTGTTAAGTACATTTGATACTGAACACCACTGACCAATCCTCCAATAGTATAATTATTATTTGGAGACAATGGCAGTCGAACCATTTGCCACTGACCATTGGTAGGTTTTATGTGAGCAACATAACCTATTAATATTTAAAGAATAAAGTTAATCGATGTTTATACATTCTAAATAATATTTAAAGTAATATTAAGTACCAGTAAGCGGTGTGTTTCTCTTCGAAGACCATAAAATTCTCATAGTCACCGAATTTGGATCAGTTGTCAAAATGGATATTCGAGGTGTTGGAGGAGATTCTTAAAAATAAATATAATGAAGTTTAATTAAAAATTTTAATATATTTAGTCTTATAATACTTATTAATAAATGTTCTCTTACCAATATACGATGTTGTTAAGAGTATTGGTTCCGAAGGTGGAGCTAATCCTGCTCTATTATAAGCAATTACATTTACAGTGTAAGTTGAAGTCTTCTGCAGATTATCCAACACAGTTTTTTGAATTTCCGTTTTTGAATCAATTTTTACATTTTTATATGAGTAAGATATTTGTGAACCTTGACTGGTTTTTTTATATCCAATGTAAAATCCCAGTAATGGTCCATTCCACTGATGTTTTGGAGGAGACTAAAATTTTTAAATGTTTATTATTAATTTAAATAAAATATTGAAATCAAAACAAAGATCACTAAAAACAATTACCTTCCAACTTAAAACAGCTGAAGCTGTCGATTTATCACTTACTTGAAGGTCAAAAGCAGGAGATGCAGGTTCTGCAAAAATAAAAGTAATCATGTTAGATATTATTAAATGTATTAATAATTAATTTTTTCACTCTATAAAGCCTAACATTTATTTTATACTTATAAAATCAAGCTTGCAAAAATAATCAAACTAACTTTAGAGCTAAAAATAACTAAAAACTAATTATCACCTTCTTCAGTGGTAATAGCTTCAACAGTTTTCGACGGTTTGCTACTTCCTACTTCATTGACGGCAACAACTTGAAATTGATATTTTGTATATGGCTTCAAACGAAGAACAATCACTGACATTTGAGATCCATCAACTTTTAATTCCAAAGGATTATTCTTATCTTCTAAGAAAAGTAACAATAACAATAACATTCAAATTAAATATAAATAAAGATATATAATAAAAATCATTTGTTAGTACCTTTCTTATAAGTACAGATGTACTTTTTAATTGCGGTATTTCCATTATAAGGCTGCAACCAACTGAGCCGAACACTTCTACTCCATATTGTTTTCACTTTTAACTCTTCAGGCTGACTGGGTGGCTCTGAAAATTCGACAAAACTCATTTTATATATTATTTTAATATTTTAAATCAAAATATTCATTACTAATGTTAAGGAGCTTACCAACAATTCCTAGTCTAATTGCCATTTGACTATGTCCAAATGTGTTATTGGCACTACAAACATACAATCCACTGTCTCCTCTATTAGTAGATTCAATATTTAAGACTGATTTGTAGCTTTTTTCAAAATTCGTGTGCACTATTTGTATCCTAATAAATTATTTTAGCAATTGAAAAGCAAATTATTAAAATAGCTTATGGAAATATTCACATATATATTAAGAGTTTCCTTTCACCTTTGATTGTCTTCTGGCTTGTTTCCATCTTTAGTCCAATAAATATTTAGCGGTTTGTCTCCAGTTATGTTACAAACTAATATAGAATCTTCACCATTTCTTACCGTTTTCTGAACAGATTCCACATTTACTATCGGTGGGACTATAAGAGAATAGTATATCTCTATTGTTAAATTGCAATAATGAGAAATGATATATTAAAAAATATGAATTTTATTATATTTCTTTCAAACGTTTAACTGTGATTGATGCATTTGCAATACGTAAATACCTACAATATTTACCTTGAACTTCAACTCTAACAGTCTTAGATAGATTTTCTCCGACACCATTTCCTACTTCACAAGTATAAAATCCTTCATCTTCTTTCTTTGCAGTAACAGAAGTAATTGTGCCGCTATCAATAATCTTCCAATGGCTTTCTGTTACAGGAGATGATTGAGCAATACTGAATCCTAAACAAGTTAATTAAATTTCCATTACTATATGTTACTATTTATCTTTATATATATATATGTCCATTACTATGTTTTTTTTTTTTCTGTCTTTTGTTGAAGCTGTGCCTTTATTTTTAATGTCAGTTTTATTTCACAAACAAGAGTCTGAGTCTTAAATTATAAATTCATTGTGTAACAAAACAGATATTAATTATTTTTGTTAATTGCTAATGGCATATTGCCTTAGAATTAGAATTTTCTATCAGAATTTTCTAATAGAATGATTATATTTATTTACCTTTCGTTTTTCTCCATTTAACACTTGGTGGTGGATAGCCAGCGGCTTCACAATGAAGAACTAATTTGTTTCCTGCTTTAACTGATACATCGTAAGGTTGACGAATCCACGCAGGTGGCACTAAATTTATATATTTTGGTAATTCATATCTAGTAAAAATTTACACTTTTTTAAGTATAAATATTTCAATTTTCTCACCTGAAACAAATAACTTTGTCACAAGACTATCCGATCCGGCCCTGTTCGAAACTAAACAAGTATAATTTCCACTGTCCGAGCCTTTTACTGAAGCTATGATAAGAGAAGTGGAAAAATCATCCTGTCGACGAATTGTCAAATGAGAAGATTCTTTCAATGTCTTTCCATTCTTAGACCATTGAAATGTTAGCGGTGGATCACCTTCAGTAATGCTACACATTGCCGTGTATCTCTGACCTTCTCTTAAATTATTTTCACTGACTTGTGGCACGATTTTTGGTGGGACTACAGCAGATAAAATATTAGCTAAAAGCATATTTATATTTGAATGAACAATTATTATTATTTTATATAAAATTTTTATTTAGTCGATAAAAATGGTTATATACTGAAATAAAAAATACAATTATTTAAGTATTTTGAATATTTTTTTGGAAAATTTGAATCGTTTTGATTGTTATTATTCAAAATAATATTTGAATGTGAAATATGTATTGAATGCAATGTAAAATCCAAATTAATAAATAAAACTTCTATATTAAAAACATTATAATTGGCTTGACTTTTATAATAATAATATGTGTATGTATGTCTCTTTATGTATGTAGTGCTGTAATGATAGTCTACCGAAGTTAATTTCGGATTAAAGAGACGTACATACATAGATCATAGTAACAGCTACCAAAAGTGATATTTAGAATAATAATAATATTCAACAATATTTGAAATAATAATTGTTTGTTGTATCATTTAAAAGCATACAAAATATAAAGATATAAGGTGTGAGAATTTTCTATACGATTTGATTATTTTACATTAATTTTAATAAAATAAAAATTAAACAGAATTACATATTTTTACCCGTGTTTATTAACAGTTGAAAAATACTTTTAAAAACTAATTATAAAGTTATCATCATCATTATTAATTTCTCATTTTTAAATACAAAAAAATTCCAGAAAGAGAAGTTAGTTATTAAACTCAGGTTTATAGATTTCTTCAAAAAAGCATCAAATATTAATTTGTTTAATTTTATTAACGATAATCATAAAAATAACAAAATATTTATATATTTCATACATCAAACATATATAATATTTGCTTTAAAAATTCTTTACGAAGCATCATTTATATATAAAAATAAATTTAACAATTAAAAATTAATAAAACTTAAAAATACGATTATAATATTTAAACTTAATATTTATTATTTTACACTTATGAAATTTTAGATGTAGAGAAGAAGTATATTATGTTAAAATTTTTATAATTAATACTATAAAATACTGTTTTTAAAGTTTCATGATTTATTTATTTGCTTGCACTTATATTAAGCTTAAATGTAGAAAATATTTTAATTTAATTTACAAATAATATTTAAAGTATGAGAAAAATTAGTGAAAATTGAAAATAATCAACAATAAGGTTTATTTACAACATTTCTTTAGTTTCTATATTAAAAAAATATCTACTAAATTACAAAAAATATCAATAAATAAATTGATTACACAATGTTCATTTATTGAGTTAATTATTACTGATTTTATATTAAATAGAAAACATAGCTTAATTCTAATGTATAATATAAAAACACTAAAATTAACTATTATAAAAACATCAAATATAATTTTTTTTTAAATTTTGGACTAATATTCAATCAATTAGATTATTTATTTACAAATATTCGAACATGTAAAAATTTTTCAAGTGAAAGAATATTAATGATGATGATTTACTACTTTTTGATAAACCATTATAAAATAATAAATTATGCTGTAGTACAGATTATTTTATTATAAT